CAGTGTTGTGGTAGCCAGCATTTTCCCCAAAAAGCCTCTTTTTGAGGATCCCCAAAGTGAGTGATTGGCAGAACAACCCATCCTCTCATTATTTTGTCCACAAATTAGGCCTAGTTTCCAACAAACCAAATTTGGTTCATTGATTTCCAATCCCATATTTTTCTTGTTTACGAGACATGATTTTAACACAGTCCTTGAGTTATAATAGTAGGTCGTCTTTGTTTAAACTAATTTAGTCTTTTTGTCTCCCTTTTGCATCTTTTTCCATTAACATTTATTGTTATAGGTTATTGTGTCATTTTATGAACTTTCACTCACTTTTCACAGTTGAGCTCACAGTTAGGGCAAATTTGTAGGTCCAGATATCACAACACTACTCACTTGGAGCTTGTCTTTGAATTGAATTAAAATAAAAATACTTCAGTGTACTGGGATGAATAAGAATGGTTTTGTTGTGCTGTGTATTGATCCATAAACTTTTTATTGAAATGTTCAATATCAAGGTACATTCCAAATGTACCTTGCTTCAAAAATAACTAACAGTATGGCTTTGTTAATAGCCTGCCACAGAGTGCAGAGACATTACAGCAAGTTATCCCCAAGGACCCAATCCTGTAAATACTTACGCATGTATTTAACTTTAAGACTTTGAGCAGTGCAGTTGAGGTCAAGTCTCACTAAGGCTGAGTTAAGTTAAGCAAGCACATGTTTGGCAGCTCAGGACCTAAGGCCTAAAGCCCTGTCTACTGGTACTGTAACTGTTTTATTGATAAGCACTCACCAGTCTATGTAAAGTAATTTAGAATATTGTTCAGTGCTGCCTGCACTGACCAGGAAAACTATAGCAGCACCGTGCTAGCAAGGCCATTAATTGGAAAAGGTGCTTATTAAAAAAGGTTTCAGTGACAGGGCAGGGTATAACGGGAGAACAGAACTAACTGAAAACTGGGAGAGAAGGACAATGGGGGCTCTCAGAGTGACAACTTGGCAAATGACTCTACCCATTGGAAACCCAGTGAAGTCAACAGGTCTCTGTGTGGGTGCAGGGCTTTTGCTGTGCACAGGATGGCTGAATTGACTGCAGTTGAAGTCTTAGATGACAACAAAGATTATTTCACAATTAATATTAATTTATATAACAAAGAGGAAATCTGAGATATCAATTGGCAGTGTAGCCAGTAATTCCATTGATAATTTATCTTGAGGAATCTTTTCTTGTCATGCTAAATAGTGTATTATTTGGTAATGCTAAATAAGCATATTTATGTACTCTATTAAAATAAGGATGGAGAGAGCAAGAGATGCACAGACATGTACCCAAGGGGAAAAAAAAAAACCTCTTGGATAATTATTGCTATAAAAAGCAGAAAATCATCTTGCCAAAGAACTTGTAGCCACATAGTCAGATTTACAATTGTTTGATCCAACTCCTTCTACTTCCCATGGGCCCCTTGTCCAGGGTTGTCATTCTTTATTACGAAACTGACATCAGTCAATTTGTTTATAGCCAGCTGCATTAATAATCAACTGGCAGTGAGATCAGAAATTACTGGAACAATTTGGTCATCTTGAAACTTAAAGAAAAAGAAATTCTAAATGCCATGTCTATAATAGTAGTTGTTTCACAACAGAAAAAAATCATGTGATGGTCTAGTTGTTTAATGCTGGGTCAGCCTGAGGGTTTTTGGGATGGTGTGTGAAAGGAAATCTTTCCCTGCTCCAAGACTCATTTTAAATCAGCAAACAAAAATTACCTGCTGCAGTAAGACACACTCCAACCACCAAAAGCTTAGAAGCATAGAAATAAAGAAGCTGTAAAGAGAAAGACTTGAGCATTGCTTTCTACCTTCATATTGACTGCAATACTATAGCTAGATAATGGTCTCCAACATCCCATAAGGGTTGCACTCTAACACAAAACATTAAAAGTGACCTCAGATGGTTTTATATCTGTTATAATCAATAGATAGGCACATTTGCCTGTTGCTCATTCCATGCAGTTGGGAAGGTATTCTGCCTTAACACGGCTGAGGTCACTGTTAAGGTTTTGCATTTTGAGTGTCAGTTTGATGAGGCTTGTGTCTGTATTACATATGGGTACCCCTTGGAGAAGGAAGTGAAAGCCTTCTGGCGCATTGGACTGTAGCTATCAACAGTATTGTAAGCAATATGGAGGTGAAAAGGAATGCACAAGTCTTTCCCCTTAATACCTTATTTCCATGCTGTTTAGGTGCATGGCATTTGTCCAGATGCAACTTTGTCCTTAAATATAGTTTTGGTTTGCTAATTTCCTAGTTTTTTTAATACAGGTTTGGTATACCTCAGGGGGTAGCTCCCCAGAGTCAGGGAGAAGGAGAGCTACACCCGCCTGGGAATCAGAGGGAGAAACTGCACTCCTGAAGCTGCTCATGACTAGGTCAACTCTCCTGAAGAACATGAGATGTTGTGATGTGCATCAGTAAATCTCTTCTGTCTATAACATTTTATCCCTATTTAAAAGGTACTGAAAGTTATGTACAGCAAGAGCACCTCTATGTTTAGCAGTGAGGACATACCCTGGCAGCTGGAGAACACATCTGAGAAGGAATCTCTGTAATCACTCACTTCCTGAAATAGTCTATAGTCTTTCAGTTAAGTGGCATCATAAACAAATGTAAGTTACATCCATTGGTCATTAGCATTAGTTTCACCTATAAGAAGGGAGTAGCATCCATGACAAGAGTAAATCTCCCACACCAACTTTCAGATGTCTGTGGCCAAAAGTGCCCCTCCAGCTCCCCACTGTTGTGAAGCTTGCTATGTGGTGTTTATCAGCTTGGCTGCTATCCTCTTCAAGATGTAGCTGCATTTCAGTAACCAGTGAAGATTGTAATGCAAAGCTGATCCTGAAATCCTTACTCAGGCAAGTTCCCCCATTGAAATCAAATAGACTACCCATGCAAGCAAGGGTTTCCAAAATCCAGCCCAGAGTTGTAAAGAACTTGGTGCTCTTTCAGAAAGAAAAGTGTTATATAAATGAAAGCAATTGGCCCAGAACGTCCTCTAATGCTGGGGACAACACAGAGCAGCTTGTGAGTGTGGGAGATCAGGGAAACTTGGCATAAAGGTGTCCTTCCCACTTTCTCAATCCTGTGCTGGTCTAATCCTCTGGTTCTGACACCAGAGTGTCCCTCTATGCTAGGGTGAGCCTCTTGTGTCCAGTTATACCAACTTTCAGTCCAGAATCTGCCTCCAGTGGGGAGAGCCCAGAATCTGGGCTAGTGTTGTTACTCTAAACAAACAGCTGAATATTAAAAAGAACAATTATGATTTTTTTTATGAATAAAGTCATAAATGCCAAACTCTTAAACTTAGTCTATATTTTGATTCCCTTGTTTTAATTTTATTATTTAGGTTTAGTTTGTTTTGTGATCAAACCAGCTGTGCAGCGGGGACAATGTTTCTATTTTGTGTGGCATTTAGTATCTGGAATGTAATGTAAAGACATTTCTCCTCCCCACACATTGTGGCTGAATGATACTGCTGTGCTGATTTGAAATGACCTGATTAATCTCTGTTTCCTCTTAACATTTTGACTAAATGTCAAACATAAACAAGTTTCATGGACTTGAAAAACATTCCAATAAAGATGAGAAGAAACACATGGGCAGCAGTTTTTAAATATTCTTTGGGACTATTGGACACATTTCAATATGCTTTAGCCAAGCTGGTGAACAAACACAGGAAAGAAAGATTGAAAAATGTTTCAGACAGTGCTGCATTTTTCATACAGACTGTATAATCTACTTATAGATTACGGAAAAAGATAGGGGCAAAGCTACCACGGGATGAGTTAACACAAAACCTCAGATCAGTTGGTGTTTTGAAACATGAACTGTAAAACAATTGTGATACGATGAAATCTGGGTTCCATTTAATTCAAAACCTAAAGTATAAGGAGTGGAGAAGGGCTGGCTAAATAATACTTGTTTTGGCTCATCTCCCCCATGAAATGATTCTGGATCTTCATTCCTCAACAGAATCAGAAACTGAGCTTCATTTATAAACCAAAAGGACAGTTACAAAATAAATAAAGAGGAAGAGTCAATATTGCATCTGTCCCCAGTAGGTCACCCCTTTTTCTTATTTGGAATAACAGTGTGTGGCTGCTCTCACATAATGTAGTTAGTCTCGTAGTTCAAGTGGTAGAACCCTGTGCTGCAGATCTGAAGGTTCAGGTTTCAACCACTTGAGCTACAAGACTAACCCCATTACCTGAGAGCAGCCAAACACTGTTATTCCAACTAGGGAAAAGGGGTGAACCAGTAGGGACAGAGGCTGGAGGCAGAGTGGTGATCAGGGCTGCTCAATGCTCCCCCCTCCGGTTCCAGGGAGGGAGGATCTCCCATGTGGTCCCTTGAGGGCAGGGGGAAATACTGCAGGGGTTATGTACTGAGTCCCGTGGGTGGAAATAGATACTTGCAGAGCTCCTATTCCAATTCTGTCTCTCTCTTTCTGGGAAGTGAGGAACCTTCTGGCCCCTGTGGTGGCCCCAGTGAGACATGTATATCTGGGCCATGTGGTGGATGTGGGGGTGGGAGCTTGAAGCCTGATCCAACTTTTCTCCACCCGTCCCATTCTGAAGCACTGGGCAGCCCCCAGGTATTCCTAGTACAGCAGTGGTAATCAGGGTTAATGCCTTTCACAGCCAGAGACCTGGATTCCAATGTGACTTGTATCGTGAGAGAGACTGATTACAATGGCTTTAAGCTTGTGCAATAGGTATTTTAGTTTTCATCACAAACCCACCACATAATATGAAGTGTTGAATTCCCAGACTGCAAAGAGCTGGGAATTCTGCAGTTCAGGAGAGAGAGCCTGGCAAAACTGTGGGAAAGCTTGCACTGTTACTCAATGCTTGGCTTGTGCCAGACGTACCAGCCCTTTACCTTCCAGAGCACTCCTATTTTGACCATAAAAATATTTAAACAAAAAACATAGCTAAGAAACACACACGTTTGTTTTTTCCCCCCCAATCACATTTAATTTTTTTTCCTATAAAAAGAATAAATTACATTTCACAAAACAGTGTTTAGATCAGGATGTTCTTTTCGCTCTTCTGTTAAAATATGTGATTACACAGTGTAGAGAGTCAGATTTAGCTGGCCACCGTTACATACAGTAAATTCCAAAATGGGTCAACACTAGTATTAAGTGTGTGCATGTATGTGGGAAATTAGTTTCACTCTGGAACACAGACAAGTATAACAATCCATTGTTTGTCTAACTTTGTACATGATACTCGTCATTTAAGCTGTGTTTAAACAGTGGGAGGAAAAAAAAAAGGGGTGGGGTCCAAGTGAGATTTTCAAAAGCCCCATTGACTTTCAGGGAAACTTGTGCTTCTAAGTCACTTAGGCACTTCTGAAAATCAAACTTTTAGAATGTTCTAAAAATTAGGCTTTGGTTTCTATTTTCTATATTTTAGGTGGAGGCACTGCTAGAAGATATTTAAAATCACCACTTTTATTTAGTACTAAAATGAACTTATAATGCCTATTGATATCATTAGGGCCCAAATAATTAAACGGCTCAGCAAAGGAAATGAAATAAACAAAGTCTTTGCAATACAGACCTAAGCTGGTCTTTGTTTTTAAATGCACTATACAATCAGTTACCAATTACTAACAACCCATCTTAGGCCACTGGGCTTTTTTTAATACTTAGGTAGAACAAGAAATAGACTAGAGATGCAGATAGATGCCTGCCACGGACTCCCATCTCTTTCAGGAGTTTTTTGTTGAATGGTAACATTTAAATATTGCTTATGAGCCAAGTTACTAGACGTCTCAGTCAAAAGATTACAGGCATTTTGCTAATTCTTGGGAAAAACAGATACAAAAATTGATGACCCTGACATAGATATGGCCTCTTCACTGTAAGGCCTACCCCAACTCCCATCTTTTTGTACACAACAGCAAAATCAGCTGTAGCATGTACCTGACATCCCAGACAGTTTCCTTTTAAATGGGAGGTCTCTAGATTTAAAAATCTGGAGCTATGTTTGAAAGTATATACTTGAAGCAATCATTTGGTTTCCCCAAGAACTGCTAGAGCAAGAAAACAAGGTGGCATGTTCACCTTTAAATATATTTCATTATGCTATTTCCCTTTTTCTGATAACGTACCCTCAATATAGTAGAAATAATTGCTTTAACTTGCTTATCATAACTTGTACAGAATCAAACCAATTTAAATAGTTTTTTTTAATAATTGCAGAAAGAACCGTCTATACCTGAAGTGTTTAAACACACCAATATTCTTCAAAAAGGTAAATCACACTGGGTGAAATCCTGGCCATATTGAAGTCAGAGTTTTGCTATTGACTTCAACGGAGCCAGGATCTCACCCACTGGGTCAAATTCAGACCTGCTCCAACACCATTAACACTGAAGTCCACATATACACCAGCTTTGAACATGGCCCACTAGCAACCTAAGCCTGAGAGGCAATGAGCATCTGCAACTGCAATTAAGTTCAACAATAGTTAAAAGGGCTCTCAGTACCTAGCAGGAGGCATCTTGCCGCATCAGTCTCTGTCCTTTTAGATGAGAAGTCCTCAAATATCTAGGCTAAGGCTACACCCAGGGCAGGCTCCAGGGTTTTTGCCCCAGCAAAAAAAAAAAGAGGCCACGATTGTGATCTGCAGCACTTCGGCGGCAGGTCCTTCCCTCCGAGAGGGAGTGAGGGACTCGCCACCGAATTGCCGCTGAAGAGCTGGATGGGCCGCCCCTCTCTGTTGGCCACACCAAGCACCTGCTTGCTGCGCTCGTGCCTGGAGCCGGCCCTGGCTACACCACAGAGCTTACAGGGGTGCAGCTGCACCAATGCTGCTGCACTGCTGTAACGCTGCTAGTGCAGATGCTCTAAGATGATGGACTGGGCCCAATATTGCAGTAAACATGCAGACAATCCTGTAGGCAAACACCCTGGCTGATTGCATAAAATACTGCAGGATCAAGATCACCGTGAGGCAGTGAGAAAAGGGTGGGTACAATATGCTGCAGAGAACTAAGAAATACCAAAGATAAGGGCACATAGGAGAATGACAAGCATGGGGCAAGCATTTCTCTCTGGTACATGTACACAGCAGTCCTGCTTGAAAGGCACAAAGAGTTGTTCAAGGTAAAAAGAAAAGTAGCTGCTTTGAAGCAGATTTTTCACTCCACAGTAACTCCTCCTGACCTACTCTTTCTTATATTTCTTGCATATTAAGCAAGGACCTCTGGCCATGATATTAATATGACCTTGATCACCTCTAAAGATCTGTTATTTATTAGAGAAATACAATAAAGTTATTCCAGACTATGCCTTCCATTCTACTTTCAGATAAAAGAACAAAAACCTTACCCCCAATTAAATTCTCTTTTCCCAGTTCTCAGCTTCTCTCAATCCCCCACATCATTATTACTATTGAAACATTATTCAACTTTTCTCCCTTTAATTATTCTAGAATTCAGTTTCTCAGAAGACCATTTCACTCAATTTACACCTGTCAAATTTTTATTACAGCCCCAAAATCTGGCTACTAGGTACGCATAGGCATATGACAGGAAAGCTCTGGGCAGAGAGCTTCCCCCAAAACCTGCAAAGAAAACATTCCCCAGCCACCCTGCAACAAGAGTCACAACAAAAGTGTTCTGGGTCGGATGTGTGCATATGCATGTGCCCATCTGACAAGAATAATATGTGCAGGGAGATGTGGGGAGCTGGGGCATACTCTGCCCTCACAATAAGAGTGCACAATAATACTATTTGCATAGCATTGATTGTCCATCCAGTTTTGGGCAGGTTCCACAATGGGCCCAAACCTGACCCACAGACTTTACAGTCTCCAAGTTCTCCTCCACCAACTCAGACTCCTATTTCCTCACCAATCTTCCACACACTGATACTTCTAACCAAAAGCACCTTTAAATTCATTTTTCATTTTGGCAAGAGGCGATGAAATCTGACATTTAATTCCATCATCAGGCTGATGGAGCGCTATGATGGTCTGATATAGAAACATCACACCAACAATTCCCTCTCTGAATATGTGCATTCACACTTGTGTGCAGCAGGTGTGATTGTGATTCCATTAGATGCTTTCTCAGAGAAGTTAATGTTCCATCACTCAGAAACCAGCATTACGCCTGCATGATGTGGTATTTAACAGATACTGGCTATGGAGCAACAGCTTTTCAGAGACACTCTTCTCCCACCAAAACGGAGATTACTCATCCAGAACTTCCTCCCAGTGAAGACAATAGGAGTTTTGCCACAGACTTCAATGGGAGCAGAAATGGACCCTTTGTGGACTTGATAATCTCAGTCTTTGTGGTTTATATATGTGCATTTCCAATTATATGCATACTTCCATAAAGTCCTAAGGGCATCCCTACAAGGTAGTGCCTTGTTATTACTCACTGCACATTGACAGACTCAGATTTTCAGAGTTGCACACGTGAAACTGTGCAGTCACAGTAATTCCAAGTACATGTGACCAGTTAGTCACCTAGCTGAGCATCTGCAGGCACAGTTGTGCATGGTGATTGCATATACAGATGATGCATTTGCAATTTTGCACTAGTGATTCTGAAACTGCACCATATTGCATAAAATATATAGCATGTGTATTTTGTACATTAGATTATAGTACATTTTAATACTGAATATTAAGCAGCTACATTGAAACACTATTTTTAAATTTTCACACAAATCTTAATTAGTTATTTTTGCCCGTTTGCCTGTATTGCACCTCTCTCTGACTATACTGTCATATAACATGTATAGAATGGATGTTTGAAAAAAATCGGTTTTCCTACAGCAAGGAATTTTCACAGTCTGAAATCCTGCAGGGGCACAAGAATTACACGGGACATACAAGAATGCTCTGCACATTTGCGTCCAATGTACATATATGAAGTACACCTGCCCACGAAAATACACAACACATCTATTCTAATGGTAACAGTTATAGGACTTGGAACGAGGAAGATCCTGGTCCAACTTCTAGTTTAACCACCAACTTGCTCTGTAACTTCAGACACCCCTCATTACTTGACCTATTCTTGAAGGCCAGATAGTGTGCAAGCAGTATCCCGGTTGCAGGTAGAAATGGTATTGATTTCTTATGCTGTTTCCATAGCTGAGGTTTCTTGCATATATATATTTTAAAAGGTTACACAAAATTATATTAACAAGTGTGCTGTCATCTGATTGGCTATAAATTAGCTTTACAAATACAACCCTTTAGTCAGTAACAGTCACAAACAACATAGGAAAATTAGTGCAACTGTCACTGTAGAATATTGCGAGGGTTTGTTTGCTAATAAGGGCAGGAAGAAAAGAATTCTGTAGCATAAAGCTGAAAAGTAACTACTTCTAAAAAGTGAAGGGTGGCATGTTTTATCCACGTGGAAATATTTCTCTACAAAATAAAAACATTTTGGCCAAAATCATCCCTGATGTACTTTCAATGAAGTCAGTGGAGTTGGGCCATTTACAAATTTGGCCCACTTTATCTGTTGTGATGTAACATTTCCAAAGATGTGTTTCCCTACAAACCCCTGAAAACTGTTACTAAGACACAGTTGTCCTTTGCTTTCAAAGGAGCAGATTTTCTCAGGAAGAAATTGACACACAGGAGGTTCTCAGCTTTTACGATAGAGTTGCTAAAGTCTGTTGTCAAATCTCAAAATACTACTTGTGAAAGCCAGCATGAGCGCTTTCACAGCAAGAACTGTGCGATCAGATTAGCCAGTCCTAGGATGATTATAAAGATGTGAACGATGAGCACTGACCACGTCAGCTGTCCTGACTGACGCAAGGAGATCATGTAGATGAGGGATGGATACACAAATACAAAGGCCAGACCACATGTTGCTCCAGAATATCTGCAAAAGAATTAAAAGTGCTTTGTGTTAACTCTTGTTCCTTGGGGTTTTTCCTAAAACAGTCTTGTTGAATAATGATTATTTGCTGTCACAGCCAAAAAAACATTGTTTTCTGTTCCTCATTATCTGCCGCCTCCTCCTCCAATGGCATTTAATTATTTGATAAAGCATTTCCCCCCAGAGTAATCCTACTGTCAAATGAGCCAGATGCTTCTGGAGACAGACTTCCTAACTTTGATATTGATGTATTTTGCTTTCGGTTGAGGAATCTGTTTACATATATGTCAGAACAAGGCCAGACAATAGCTTTTGTTACTTTTTCATGTAATTATCAAATATATAAATCTGGTAACATCCCAGGGGCTTAAACAAAATGTGTATGAGCTCCTAAAAAGCATTTCTCTGGTACTGCAAGAACATGAAGTGAAACCAGCACCAGGAAGGACCAACCCATTGCTATTGAAACCCTTTCCTACTCCTCCTTCCAGTGAGGACTCCCAGCCTGACTCTCCGCTAGCTATCAAAGCCCTATCACTACCCTCTCCCAATGCCAGTCTGGATCTTTGATTAGCTATCAAACCCCTGGTGCTACCAAGTATTCATTATTCACAGGCATTTTTTCCTATTCTACAAGTTTCAGTTGTCCAACCAGGGAGCAGAAACAACATATTACTTAGGTGACCAATCGCATGCCCAAGAATAGCAAATAGTTGAACTATACAGTTCATGAACCACCCACAGGCTGAAGATGGTTTGTCCAAAACTGTTTGGCAACTATCAGTAATGAACACATTAGCAAAAATCAGGATCAATTTGCAAACAGAAAAACATGCTGAACACACCATGTAATTTATGTTCCGTGACTAATCTGACTAGTTCTATTATCAGAGGATAGACGTTTTCCCTAAAAATAAATTAGAGATTATAAAAATAAAAAAAGTAAAGGGAATTTAAAAAAAAAAAGTTACGCTAGTTTCAGAAAATGAGTGAAGAGTAGCTACAGTGACTACACTGGCCCCAATACCAATTGCTGTAGTTTTATAATCACATATTCCTGGTTTTTTAATGCCTTCCTTTCCTGGTTGCTGTGTAAAAACCCAGACTAACAACAGGGGAAACGGACTATTCCCAAAGCATTTCCAAATGCAGAAAGTAAACCCTCTGGAAAAAAATTGACAATATATTTTCTCATGCTTTCTCAATTACAGAAGTCACAGGAGTTAATTGCAACAAGAGTAGGTTTAAATAAAAATCAGTCAGAAGTGAGATTTTTATTTTGGCCTTCCTTTTGTCTCTGATTTTTTATTTATTCATTTTCGCTGCTTTTAATCACAATTTAAAAATTGATTTAAAAAAGACTGTCTTTAAAGATTAACGACCACCACCACCACCACAAAAAACCATACGCCTCCACAGAAACCATTGGTGGTAACATACAAATAGGGCCATACAGTAACTTAGTGATTTTATGCTGAAAAATGATGCATCTGATTCAGAATAAGCAGGTAAGTTATGGGGACCCTGGATGAGATCTGAAGGAAACTTATTCCCAATTCACATCTGTCTGGCAATTATCTCAACCCTCTGAATGTCCCTTTCCAAGAACTAAGATTAAACAGAGCTCCATATATCAGAGGTTGACATCACTCTAATTTTTTGTATATTTATTATAAACAATAATAAAAAGACAGATTGATCTCTGAGAATTTGTCTGACACCAAAAATATTTCATTAACATTCAGGGCTAGTTCAGAGTACAGAGAGTACCTACCTTATGATACCTCCTATATTTGGATAGAATATGGCCATTATCACTCCAAGTCCTACAATTGCTACGTTTAGAACCAACACATGGAAAATACTAGAGAGAGGGGGAGGAAAAACAGTTAATATGGCGAACAATAAAAAATTTGTCATTCTATTTAAATGGAGATCCTTTACTGGAGCATTAAGCAAGCAAGTCAGAGGATCTCTAGGAAGCCAGCATTTTGTCATAAGATGACTCTTAATAATTTCCTTCCCAAACCATCTAATTCTTGAACACAACCAACATGTGTACAAATTCGTTCCCTTTTCCCTGCAGCCTCTCCAACAGAGCACCTCCCTAATAGCAAAAATATGGACGATATTAATTAGAGTCAAATGCTATATATGCAGTAATTTATAAAAACGTTCTTTGTGAGCTGCACATATCCCTTTTCCCATCTTAAGAGATGCACTTATCCAGATCAATTTCTTTGTCCAAATCCCCCTCATCTTTTTCCATCTGGGTTGTTTTATTAACAGATTTTTCATTCTAAAATTGTATGTATCTTAGAAATTAAACCTTTTGTTCCAGCTTGTTCCTGGAATAATTCCTGAAATGTTGTTAAAGGTCCAGTTAGAACCATCTCATATCCGGATTTCACAATAAAGTGTTTGATTTATAAATATTGAAAATACGGGACCTTTACATTATCACATAACTATTGGTAGGATTTCAGATCAGAACCCAGGAAGCGCTGTCCCCAATTCACTAATCTCAGCTCTTACCCACAACAAATAATCACATACTTCCTAAGGATAAATTCCTGATTTTTAATGAAAGTAGCTAAGGGAAAGGGCCTCGGTGACAGGAATTTTAAAAATTGGTCCAAAGCTGCTAAGGTGGTCCGGACGAATGGGTGATTTTTTTTTATTTTTGGTGATCTAAATTTCTTTTTAATCTCACAATTACTATGAATAGCTATATCTAGGCTCCAGTCTTGTTCAAGTTTTACCTAGTGTTTGGATGGTCTATTGTTAACCCAATTGATGACGTTTTAATTGTAATACATAATAATAATAAAAAATTCAAATTAGGGAACGCTAGTTCACCTTACTCTGTAGGCGTACACAGAACTTATAACTCACCCTTTGTCTTCTATGTTTACATATGGTTTTAATAGTGCATCCTGCCAGGTTTTTAATGTCAGGGATAAAACAGGGATGCAGTGAAACAAAACAAAAAATACAGTGGATGCCAGTTAACAGCACTCCCAGTATTAACAACTTTTGGTTAATAGCAACACTCAATTCAATGTTAATGGGATTTGGATAGTGGCAATATGCAAACCACTTATTAACAACTGTCTTGGGAAGAAAGGCTCTACCACAGGCAGGTTTGCGGGGTTGTAGCCAGGGAAGGAAGCACATGGGGCTTCCCGAATACCTCTCCCTGTGCTCTCGGGCTGCGTCCTGCCCTGGCACAGGGGTCTGGGCTCAGCACTTCCTTTCCTGGCTGCAACCTTGCAAAGCCTGCAGCCGGGGTCCCACTACCTGCACAGGAGGTAAAGGGCCTGCACCCCTGCCCAGCAAGGGAGTCCCTACTGGAGTCCCAGCGCTCTGGGCTGGGACAGGAGGGTGTGAGCAAGGCAGCAGAAAGGAGGGAGGCTGCAACCTGGATGCCAGGGCTCTTCAGGGAGAGTGGGGATGCGGTGGGCCTGCATGGTACCTCTCCCTGCATTCTCCAGGCTGTGCTCTGCCCTAGCACCATAGCCGGGGCTTGGTGTGTCCCAGCATTTACTTCCCTGGCTGCTGCCCTGCAAACCAGCGTTTTGTTTATTGGCAACCCCCTGTTATTAGCAACTTTTTGCTGGGAACCAAGAGTTTGCTAATAAATGGCACCCACAGTAACACCTTTAGCCTCGGTAAAGATGAATGTCCTCACACTCTATCTAGCCAAGAAATTTTCTATTTGTTTTGCTATTTTATTCCTCATAGGAGGGTAATTTCCTTTAAAAGATTTATGTTACTCCACAATATTTATTCCTAAAATATTGTAAAGATTCCCTTACCCATTTAAATTTATGTAACTGACAGCAGTTGGTTTTGATCCTTTCAGGAACATTGATTCCCAGAATTTCAGATTTATTGTCGTTTATTTTGAAGCCCGATACCTGCCCAAATTCTAAAGTCAATTGTTCTATCATTTTTAACGAGGTTTCTGGATCCTGCAAATATAACAGGACATTGTCAGCAAACAAAGCTATTTTGTGTTCTAAACGAGATGTTTATCAAGGGGCTATTTCTCACATTGATGGCAAATGGCTCCATAGCCAAAGCAAACAAACTGGCAACCCTGTACTTCTACCCCTGGATAAAAGTAAAAGGAGGGGGATTGGTGAACATTAACCAAAGAAGATGCTCGAGGATGAATACACAGGGCTGATATGCCCTTATAAAACTGATTTTCAAAACCAAACTTTACTAAAAATCTGGCTGAGGTACTCCCGATTCCAGCCTGTCAAAGTCATTCTCAGTGTTGAGTGAAAGCAGCATACAGGAAGAATGATAAGAATTAACATTATGGATCAAATTCAGAGTTTGATATATCAGATAGGTGCCTGCCAGCAATGAATTCAGATTGGTCTGGGTGAATACATTTGGGCAAAATGACAATCTGTTTGCTAGCACCTTGACATAAATGTTAGCATCCACATTAAATAGGTCTGTATGATGCACAATTGGAAAGATCTTTTCCTTCTTTAGGAATGATCACAATTTCTGCCTCTTTCCATGAATCTGGAATCTCGTTCCCCTGCAATATGCCATTAAATAACCCATTTAAAATAGGGCCAACACTTGCTTTAGAGCTTTGTAATGCTTCCCAGAAAACCCCTTGGGACTTGGAGCTTTATTGGATTTTAAGTTCTTAAATACATCGTCAACTTCCTGTGCAGAATCTGCCTGTCAAGAGCTGCCACATTATCCTCAGAGCTGAGGTAGTTTCACATTTCTCAAATATCTATTTAGGAGTTCAGAATTTGGCTGTTCTGAAGTGTACAAAGTATGGAAAAAGTTAAACATTTCAGAGATCTGTGTGATGTCAGTTACTAAATCTCCCGTTTTATTTCTAATCAGAAGGATAGCCGATTTATCCGGTTTCTTTTTAAACTTTCTGGCTAAGCGCCTATCAGCTTTGCCAGTTTCATAATATTTTTGTTTAATACATCTAACTGTTTGCTGAGCCTTACCTGTTTGTAACAGGTTAATTTTTCCTCATCTCAAATTGTTTTCTTGTGTACTCTTTTAGATCCTGTAGATTTATGTCTACCTTCCAAATCTGACAGTTCTTTAACTGAACTCTTCTACCAGACGCTCATATTTTTGAGGTATGATGCTTTAGTTATGAGAGTCCTCCTCATTACGGTCTTTCTAGCATCCCAGTGAGCACTTACTGATTCCATCCTTATCGTTTTCTTCTATATATTTCTGGACATTTTCTTCCAGGTCTTGAATTTTAAGGGGGTCATATAACAAAGCTCTATTCAACCACCAGGCCCTTTGTTTTTCCACTAAGTCCTAGTCTTTAATATATGCAGGGGAATGATCAGACCAAGTTATACCTCCCAGACTACCTTTTTTAACCAAATTAGCCAATAAACAGAAATCAGATCAATCTGGCGGAAGACCCATGAGTAGCAAAACAATATGAATCTCGATGTTAGAGACTATAAGTCTCCCACTAGACATCCACCAGATCCTCATTTTCTAATTTGGGCAAATAGTATATGGGCTAAGACATTACACTAAATAATTAATTTTATATCCATGTGGTTATAATGATAAAGGGATAGAGTTAAATGTAAACTGGGCTGTACAGAACCCAGGATATGTCTACATTGCCCCACAGTTTGGGCTATGGGGGTGCAAATAGCTGTGTGTACCAAAGTGTTGCAGTTAAATCCCTTGTGGGGATACTGCAGGCACGAAGTGTAAGTCTCTAGTTCACACTAATGTAGTCCTGTTTGAAGAAGACTACATTAGTGTGAACTGGGGACCCTGAAGTGTGTGCCTGCAATGTCATCACGGGGGAGTTTCAGTTCAGCACTTTGGTGCACACTGTTACTCACACCCCATAGTCTGGGCTACACGGCAGCATAGATATGCCCTAAAATACCCTGGGTGCTATACAGCCCAGTTTTCATTTAACTCTATCCCAACACCATTAATGGATATTACATTCGTATGGTTTTATTTGCCGTGATATCTTACCCCATATACTAATCTTGTTCCTCTAGATTTGGACTGTTTCTTCTGCTGTCATGTCTTTCCTTTTGTCTTGGTGACATATCTTTTTGAGCTGTTCTGGCTCTCTTTGACCTCACTGATTCCCAGTGATTTCTTGGTTACGTGCAGACTCACAAGATATTGTGAGACTTGAGAGAAAAATTGCAAGAGCTGGCAATGCTGGTGATGGCATTCAGAAGGTACATTGCACACTGCTGTTTACCTTTTCCTAATACAAGAACAAGGGGACATTCAATTAGATAGAAAGGCAGCAAATTTAAAGCTAATAAAAGGAAACATGCAATTAGCCTGTGAAACTCACTGCCAGAAGATATCATTGAAGCCAAGAGCTGAGCAGTCATATTTGTTAGGATTAAACAACAGCTACAATGAAAGATATAAACCCTCCAGCTTCAGGGCAAGAAACTTTCCCTACCGGCAGATTATCTCTTATATCCCCACTTGCCCCTTCCTCTGAGATATTGGTTATTGGCCAGGGTTACTGAACCAGATGGACTACTAGTCTGATCGGATATGGCAATTGCTATGTTTCTAACCTGCAAGTCCCTTCTTCTGTTTAAGTACAAATTCACAGCCCATCCGACCTCCAGGCTATCGAGATACCTCATCCTCACTCTAGGGAGAATAGCACATGGAAGGACAACAATTTCCTAGTTTTGATGTATTTCAGGAGGACATGTGCGAACAAATGAACACAAAATCCCTATAACAAAAGTTATCCTTACAAATAACTAAGAAAGGAGGTCTGTAAGGCAGGGCTGCTACCTCAAGCACACCAGGGTCAGACACAACAGCTGCTAGAAAAAGGCC